ACCGTTGCGTTGAGTTTCCATTATTTTTTTTCTAAATTTCAAGTCGAAAAATTCCAAAATGCCCGAGCTTTTCTTTTTTCAAAAGTCGATACACAGTTAAATTCATCCCATCCTTTTCTATACGTAATGATTATGATTACCTTGCTGTATTTCCTATACCCACAGCTGTGTAACAACGCAAAATAGTGGAGTCTAAAATATAGCTGAACGAAGTATCGTGGAATGCTACAGACTCCATGGAATAGCCAGAGGAATACGATCGGTGGAACTTTGTCGGTGCCGCGAGAGCTTGCGAAACAATCCCACTTCGAGCAGTTTCCGCCCTGCCTGCCGCACAGGTGAGAGGTGCACAAGTTAGGCCTAAGAAAGTAACCGGAAATCGCTTACTCATTGTCAGGTATTCCCAGATAAAGCTTATCAGTGACCTGTGACGTACAGTACACACCATATAAAAATGTTTCGTGTCTTGGAGTGATAAACGAGTTCTTTATACACAGAATAAAAAATGGCTCGACACTTCAAAAGCCTGTGAAAAAACGCAGAATTATCTCTGCCAATACAAAGAAGACACGTCATTTGAATTTAACGAATAAAATTATGAGAGATCTAGTCAAAGAGAAATAGTCACTGGAATTTTAATTGGATTGTAATATCACTTATTTGTGACTTTAAAAAACATTGATTTTACACATTCTGACAACACTGAATTCTATGATGAAGTCTCTTCTGCGCTCATACATAAAAATAACAATACATAAAGATAAAAAGAAGAAATAACATATTTTGAACATCATAATCTTGCTTTGGTATTAATTGATTGTTGATTTTAAATGTCATGAACCTTCATATATAAAAAATCGAAACCCCTACCAATAAATCAGGTTTTATGCTCTTCTGATTAGTGGTTTAATAGTAATCACACAGAGCGAAACAAAGTAAAAGACAAAGGTATTAATATAAACTATATGAAGAGTATTTTTTCCCCTTCTAGATATTATTTTATGAGTATCATTTTATACATCCTAAATGGTATTCCTTTTACAACCGCATACAATTCTAATATTTCTTATCGAACTTTTATGAAATGCGACTTTCTCTCAGAAGAAATTCTTACGGTCATCGTTCGACAACAGACACCTTCTAAATAACTCTAAACCTTGTCATGCTTAAGTATGTATGGCACCTATCAAAAACCAAAAAAAAAGTATGAGATCTAAACTCCTTTTAATAGTATCCCTAAACCGTTTTGAATGTGAGTACAGATTCAGACACTTGCCTGCCTTTGAATCCTCTAAAGTTTTATACGTACCCAAAGCATTACTCATTATATACACTCGAACAGCTAGTTAGACGAAAACAATAAGAGTCTCTCAGATGCATTCACAATAGTCTCTCACATCAAAGGAAGGCAGGATATCCAACATTTGGATTCCTTATGTATTTCAACCATGCAATTCTTTTTCGTCCATATAATCGTGTAACACTAAGGTATTTCTTCTTCTTTTTCTCCTGAATTTCCTTTTTTTGTAGTAACCTTCAAGTCCACGCCATGGCTGCAGTTGTTTCAGATAGGAAGCATATACGATTTCAAGAATCACTCAAGCAGTTGCCTTCCATACCACCTGACACTGCATGTGACCGTGATATATCTCCATGTGTTTCAGGAATATATTTACCTCCTTAAAAGGTAGTACTGATTAATAATGATCATAACAATAATGATTATAATAACAATGATAAGAATAACAATGATGATAATAATAACACTAATGATAATAATGATAATAATAATAATATCACTAATACTAGTAGTAATAGTAATAATAATAATAATAATAATAATAATAATAATAATAATAACAATAATTATTATCATGAAAATGAAAAACTAGTCAGAAAAACAAGACCATCAACAGTAATAATCAAAAGCGATAATGACAATAACATCAACATCAGATAAAAAAACAGCCTCATTCTCGCATTCTTCCTCGCTCTCTCCATGATTAGATTTCTTCACTTGTCTAGGGCGCCACACGAGCCCGATCATAACGCTTCGTCCCCAGGGTAGAATGGACGGCTGTAGGGGTTGTACGGATGGCCGTTATGACCGTTAGGAGGGTTTAACGGCTGGGCGTCGTCGGCGATGCGGGCGCGATGCTCCGGCCGGTGGCGCTTGAAGTACCCGCACTGTAGGGGGAGGTGCAGGGAAACCGTAATAATAACAAAAAAACAGGGAAGGAAAACATAATGATAGTATGAGAAAGAAGATAAAATAAAGCAATAGTATTCATTGATCAAGCACAGGTTTTTAATTGGTCTTTTTCCCTACTAATCCCGCTGCTGGGGAGGTGCCGGGAAACCGCAATCAAAAGCGATGTAAACAATAATGACAAAAAACTGATCAAGTAGATATTCTGAAATGTCTTTTTTTCCTTTAAAGCAGCCGCACTGTGGGTAAGGTGCAGGAAAACGATAATAAAAAGGCCGAAATAAAAGGCAGTGATAACATGAGGAAAAGAGAATATTTACTGACAGAGCAAGTAGTTTCAAAGAACTTCTTTTTCTAAGTGCCACTTGGAAAAGAAACAAGATAGTGTATTAAGGAAAAAGTAGGTGTGAAGGAGATTTATACACAGGAAAACCTACTAACAACACTATGGTCAGATTCAGAGAGGGTAAAATCTACTTCTATTAGAAAAAATGGTTGAATAATTCAGCTACTAAAAAAACTAATACAAAATATTAGATATAAGAGAATATCAGTCTGCAAAAAATATATATATGGTGCATCAATAGGGCATTATGGATGTGCTATTAGCTCGGGTACTAATCCTCCCGTACCGATAAATTAAGGCAGAAACCAAATCTGAAACCACACTCATGCACCAAACAACGTACTGTGAAATGAATAGCGGAAGAATAAGTTGACAAAATGAAATTAAAGAAAGGTTTAGGCAGAGGCACACTGAGGCCGTCTCCGCTTGAAGAATCCCAGCTGCAAGGAACGGGAAGAACAGGGGTCAAAATTCAGATTTGGAAGGTGTGTTCTTATACACATATCAATTTTGATCTGATGGTATACTGTGCAATTCATCTCATGGTTGATATCAGATGGTGTTAACTCCTATCCAGGCTTATATTTTTTATGTTATTCATATTCAGGATTATTTCGTCGTTCTAGGCTGGAGCGTGTTGGCATCGTCATTTTAATCCATCATCAAGTTACGTTAGCCATGCACGCGGCCACGGGGGTAGAGGTCCCGTTTCCTCCAGTGTTCAAAATATGGCATTAGTTAAAACGAGAAAGAAAAAGAACAGCAAGAAGACTGGCTCTCGCACCGAAGGACGGAAGAGATTCCCTCAACATGGGAGTCATCCCGTTATGGCAACAGTAACTAGTTTTTCCTTGGTATGACAAAATCACAGCTCTAGGAAACCCACAAAGGCCCTTCCGCAGAATGCTTACCTTCCACAGGATGAGGATGATGATAAGGAGGATGAGGACGCCCGCCATCGTGGCCAGGACGATGACCCACCAGGGGATGGGCGGGGCTTCGTCCAGGGACTTCGCAGGCGACACGTGCGTCGTGACGTCCAGGTCGCGTATCTGGGGAGAAGTAGTGTCGGATGGAGAAGATGAAAGTTGAAATTAATAATCATGGGATCCATTGGCACTGTAATAATCATCACTATTTTCCTTTCTATCGTCGCACCATCAGCATTGTTATCACACGTAGTAAAGTATAGCTAAAAATCAAATTAACGAAAAAAGAGCATTTCTAATTTCGTTTCGCCTTCTTACCGGGAGAACCTCCGGCATGACGCCATGCGGCAGGGCCTTCACTCTGGCCAGCATGCGACTGGTGATGCTCACGTCGTCGTACGGGTACTGTTGTCATGGGAGGCAATCCAGGTGGTCAGCCACATCCGCAGCGGATATTTTCAAAGAGTGGAGGAACAAAGTTAAGTTAGTAATTTAGTTTATTTCTGTCTGAAGGTTTACAACTTATTCTCGTCCGGCTGGTCTCCACTAGTGTTGACGAAAGACATATTGTCTAGGTGAAAAAGTCAGAATAAGAGAGAGAAAACTAATTAATTACTGTCTGCCATGTAACTGAATCGAGACATGATTCCATACATGTGTAAAAAATGTAATTTAAACCGATGTGTAACGTGTTAGGAACGATGAAGAGGCTAGCACTGCTTATCTGGAAATACCAGTGAATGATTTTTTCAACTTGCTTCTAATCTGATGAAATATTTCAACAATAAAAAAAGAAAACGTCCTCATTAGCTATGTGTTATGTTGTATTTCTTCACCAACAAGAAGAGCATGCACTTGGCTGCACCTGAGCTGCGGTCGCATGCCACCTTAAAACTAGAGAAAGAGAGGGAAAGGGGGTGTCAATGCCCACCATAGACTACGAGGGAGAAGAACAGATGTTTCGTGTAACACCTGCAGAGTAGACCAGTAACGTCTCGAGTTAATTGTAATGTTACGTACTGTTATTAGACCAAAAATTGTATCTACTTCATCTGCTACAAAAACACCATCACCGTTAACAAAAATAAAAGTAATACTTTCACGTTAAAATAAGTTCATATTTCTCGATGTCGTGAAAATAATAACATAAAAACGACAGCATCCATTATATAATCATATTTAAGGGTCTCTGATATTTAGTAAATTCTCCCGGTGCCATGAAAACAAAACTGCTATGCAAACACTAATACACATCTATTCAAGATATTACATACAGCTCCCAAAGTCTGAAATGATCTTTCAATGACAACTGGACAGCTAATAACAAAACCAGCCATCGTCTGCTCTCCTTCAGCTAATGTTTTTATCTTAAGAGAGTGACAAAAGAGCTCTCTGCTACTTGTAAGCTGTTGGCAAGATTCCTTTATTGGGGATGAGATCTCTGTCTACATGTGTGATAACAAAAAGTGACGCTGTATTCACCTATAGAGTAATAAAGAAAGGCATGGTATATTCGCCAAGAAAAATAATGAGAGCGAGTAACCATACTCCCTCTTATCATTATCTCTCATCCTTATTCCTCTTATCATTAACTTCCTCCTGCTGTATAACAAATTACATCGAGGTTATATACTGAACGGTTAATAACACAGAATACGATATAGTGGCGTTAGGGAGTAAATGCACCAATCAGCCGACCCTTCTACGATCATTAATACACAACAGGGGTGTTATGTGAACGACTTGGTTACGGTGAAACTACTGTTCAGTGACTCGCGTATACTGTACCAGGCGACGTACCGAAGCGTCCTGGAAAAGAAGATTAGAATGAAGTCACTTGGGCTCGACTGCTCTTGTTTCTTTGTTTATTGTTTTTTTTTTTCCAGAGGCGTGTTCGTCTGTTTGTGTTTGTCTGTTGCTTCAACACGTTAGGGTACTGTTTTCGAAAGGCTGCTCTCGTGTAAACAGTGCAGTGGATTGTTTTTTTTTGTTTTTTTTGTATTATTTTTTGGAGCATTTAGAATATTATTTGGGAAATAGCTGAAGCTAGTAAATAGTGTTCCCGTATGCGTATTGGCGTGTCTAGGCACGTACGACTCACTCACTCACTCACTCACTCACTCACTCTCTCTGCAATGCGCACACGTGTGTTCGAATATGATTAATAAAGAATACGCAATCTAAATGTCAAACTCTCATTTTCGCAGCAAGCAAGATGACATAATTATTTCATTTCGACAGAACCAATTGCTCTCTCCTCCGCAGCCTATTTTTACACATGATAATAATCCAACAAGTTTCGCTTAAGTGGCTATTTCTATCTCAAAATCCCAGTTTCTTCCCCAGCTGTTGGTGAGGCAATCGCTTCGTGCGGATTAGGCAGGAATGTGAGCCAAATCCTGGAGGGATCTTCTATACGTGCGATTAGTCTTGCTTTCCGTCTCATATGTATTCATTTATTCATTTATTCATTTATTTATTCATGTATTTTTTTACAATTTTGTTATAGATCGTGCAAATGATTTTTAAGATGAAATTAACACTGTGCATATGGAAAACAAAGAAAAAACTGCATTATATATTAAGCTTATATCACTTACATTTGCATTAAATTATTTAATTGCCAATATCAACATTAGCCTTACCATCATCTTCAACACTATCACATCACATCAACAGTATCATGTGTTCTGTTCTTGATTATCAACAATATATCTACGTTATCAAAAGCTCCCAAACAAAAGCCAACCGAGAAGAAAATGCTCAAAATAAGGACGTTAATGTTTATTCATAATCACAAAGAAACTCGCTAGGAAAAAAGCCAAGAAATTCCACTGTTCCAAGCATATGAAATTCAAACTCATTAGTTTATACAATTCAACATTGCTCAATTTCTAATTAAATGCCTTTGTCCTGCCATTTTCAGCATTTTACAAAACATTCCTGTCTTATCATTTTCTGTAACTTAGTATATTGTCTTCTTTCCGCTAAAAATAAGAAGTCCATCTACTCGCCCCCCCCTCGATGAGATGAGATGAGATGAGATGAGATGAGATGAGATGAGATGAGATGAGATGAGATGAGATGAGATGAGATGAGATGAGATGAGAGAGACGAGAAGAGAAGAGAGAGAGAAGAGAAGAGAAGAGAAGAGAAGAGAGAGAAGAGAAGAGAAGAGAAGAGAAGAGAGAAGAGAAGAGAAGAAGAAGAGAAGAGAAGAGAAGAGAAGAGAAGAGAAGAGAAGAGAAGAGAAGAGAAGAGAAGATAGAAGAGAAGAGAAGAGAAGAGAAGAGAAGAGAAGAGAAGAGAAGAGAAGAGAAGAGAAGAGAAGAGAAGAGGAAGAGAAGAGAAGAGAAGAGGAAGAGAAGAGAAGAGAGAGAAGAGAAGAGAAAGATGAGAAGAGAAGAGAAGAGAAAGAGAAGAGAAGAGAAAGAGAAGAGAAGAGAAGAGAAGAGAACGAGAAGAGAAGAGAAGAGAAGAGAAGAGAAGAAGAGAAGAGAAGAGAAGAGAAGAGAAGAGAAAGAAGAGAAGAGAAGAGAAGAGAAGAGAAAGAGAAGAGAAGAGAAAGAGAAGAGAAGAGAAGAGAAGAGAAGAGAAGAGAAGAGAAGAGAAGAGAAGAGAAGAGAAGAGAAGAAGAGAAGAGAAGAGAAGAGAAGAAAGAGAAGAGAAGAGAAGAGAGAGAAGAGAAGAGAAGAGAAGAGAAGAGAAGAAGAGAAGAGAAGAGAAGAGAAGAGAAGAGAAGAAGAAGAGAAGAGAAGAGAAGAGAAGAGAAGAGAAGAGAGAGAAGAGAAGAGAAGAGAAGAGAAGAGAAGAGAAGAGAAGAGAAGAGAAGAGAAGAGAAGAGAAGAGAAGAGACAAGAGAAGAGCAGAGAGACGGAAATAAGAGAAGGAGGGGGAAAGGAGATGAGTTTCTGATTCATCGACACCTTCACTGACAACAGCAGCGGACTGCCCTGTACTATCTACCTCTCGCTGACCCCACTTCCTCGCCGCCCTTCACTTTCACGGACTCATTCAACTAAACTCTACCAATAGTACGAGAACTCCTGGCGCTGACTGACGTATTCCGTGCTTGAAAGAAAGCTGTTTTATAAATCCATTAAAGAAACGATCAAAAATTGACAGGGGAAGTTGAGGGGGGTGGGGGGGGGGGATGACGAGCCAATTCATAAAATGAAAAAAGACGAGAAAAATCTCTCAGAAACAAACTTCTGAAATGAATGGAAAAATTTCACCGACATCCAAAAGGAGATAATAGGCATGAAAGATAAGCATCTGAGAGTGACTTCTGATCCGGAAAAAAAAAGAAAAGGAATTTGCCGGTTGTTGAAACCCGCGATTTCTGAAGCTTACCTCGATGAGGGTGTCCAACACAAGCCTGGAGCGCACGTAGATGTAGTGGATGTCACCGTCCACCAGCGGCCCGACGGTGCAGTGGATCTTGGTGCATTCGGTGGGACCGCAGGTATTGATCTATTGGCAGGGAAGGAAAGAGTACATAGGTAACCGTGCGTCCTACTCGTTTTTAGGTTATAATTGTCGTTCTAAAGATATTGCTTTCTACCTTCGACTGACAACCATCGTCATTATTGTTATTATCAGTTTTCAAATATGCATTTTGCAGTAAAATACCCTTCCAGTGAGCAAATGCTGTCTTAACTAGAAAATACGTCTCTACGATGTGGTATGACACACACTCGGCTCTGCACTTCCTTTCTTCTGCACTAAACGGCGCAAAAGTTCTTCTGCAGCCTCAGCGCCTCAGCCGCCCACTCACCTCTTTGTCCCAGTCGAGGGCGGGTTCCGCTTGGCGGGTGCGTCGGATGAGTTCGTCGTCGTCGTCAGAGGAGGAGGAGGAGGAGGAGGAGTGGCCGTACGAAGAGGAGGACGAGCTGTAACTGGTCCTCGTGCGGGTGGAGGAAGATGTGGAATAACTCGAGGACGACGATGAAGACGAACTGCTGCTGCCGCTGCCACTTCCATCACCGCTGCTGCTGGAGTAGTAAGTCGTCTGCGAGGTGGAGTAGGACGACCCGCCACTCGCCGACGCGCCTCCTGCCGAAGCCTCGCCGGTCGCCGAGGACTCCGAGTAGCTCTGTTCCTCCGCCTCGTGCTCGCTCTCCTCCTGGCTTTGCAACTTGAGCAATTCTAGATTCACTTCCCTGTCGATCAGCTGTTGAAGACAGAGTAACAGATTAAGAGAAAAGTCAAGGAAATATATTTGCGTGTATCCACTCAGCGTCTAGAACCATGGCCTCTTTGAGAATAACACATTTTGTAATAATAACATTCGGTAAGAATAAACAAATAAATAAGCAAAAACCAATGGGATAATCCTAGCCCTTACCGTGAGACCAAGAGGGTTGACGTCGGGCACGTGCGAGCACTGAACGGGTCCTGTGACGTAGGGCTGTTCGAGCAGATACAGGAGGTAGTTCCCTGTTGAAAAAAGAGGCTTCGTCGTCAAAACAAGAAAGACGCAAACACAAGACAGGAACCGCAATGAGGTAATCTCCCTAACTTCACTGTTAAAGCGAGATGTAAAAATAAGAAACTCGAAAACATGTGAATCCAGGAAACGAAGAAATGAGTGTGTGGGGAAGGGGGACGTGTCTTCAACGACGAAGCACGTATTTACATCCGTATCCTATATCATCAATCGATAGACAGTAAGGAATCAAGAGCCAGATTACTGCAGCTTTCCGAGTAAACCGCAATAAGAGGTTATACAAGACTGTGACCTGCCTATCGACGTCGCCCCCCCCCCAGGAGGATCCCTCGCCCACCTCACGCGTCCCACCACGAGGACTTACCGCCGAGAGTCCTGGTGGGCCAAAGGATAACGAGCTCGGTCTCCGAGATGTCGGAGGGGCCCGTGTTGGAGAAGCCGTACTTGTGTGTGATCTGAGGCCCCAGGTGCTCCTCATGCTGCTTGGACTTGGACAGGTAGAGGCTTCGGTTGTAGTCGATTCTCTCGGGGTCCGACGTCCTGGAATAAAGCGTTGCGTCAGTGGAGTTACAATGAAATAAACGGCCGGACACAAGACAAGGAAGACGACATTTGATCAATTGACGATCACACTTCTACTTTACTGGCCGAGCAACTTGAAATAACTGGGGCAGAATGGGGTAGCTGATCGTCGCGACCTACCCGTAAAGGATGAGATTCGTGTCGACCTCCACCTGGATCGTCTTGAGGACCACGTTGTCGTCTTTCGTGTGAGAATTCTCGATGTTGGTGCTGTTCGTGGTCACCAGGAACTCGAAGCGCGGCTCCTCCATCAGCCCCGACTGCTGGAATAGCACTATGAAGTGGACCTGGAAACGGGGGACAGAGGAGGAGTGTGAAATGACAGCTTTACAAATCAGTGATCACAGCACCGCAAAACCAGCCATCGCCACATTCAACGCAAACCCCAGGGGGCGCAGGACAGCCACTTACGCCCTTGTGCATCGGCAGAGGGTTGCCGATCTCGCACACGAGGATCATGCCGGAGTCCAGGGTCCTGGGGGAGCAGACGACGGTGGTGTTGTCCTTGGCCACGAACTTGTTGTAGAGCAGCCCGCGGGGGATGGGCACGAACACCCGCGCCTCGAACGCGTCCTCGCCGTCGTTCACCACGCGCACGTCCACCTCCAGCTGCTCCTTCTTGCCGAACACGAAGGTGTCGGGCCTGCCACGGGAACGCGTCATGAGCATACATACATACATACAGCGCGCGCGCACACACACACATACATATACAATATATATATATATATATATATATATATATATATATATATATATATATATATATTTTATTTATAGTTATAGTTATACGTAGATATTCATCTATTCATAGATTTTAAATAAATAAATAAATAAACAGAGAGAGAGAGAGGGGGAGAGGGAGAGGGAGAGGGAGGAGAGGGAGAGGGAGAGGGAGAGGGAGAGGGAGAGAGAGGAGAGGGAGAGGGAGAGGGAGAGGGAGAGGGAGAGGGAGAGGGAGAGAGAGGGAGAGGGAGAGAGGAGAGAGAGAGGGAGAGAGAGAGAGAGAGAGAGAGAGAGAGAGAGAGAGAGAGAGAGAGAGAGAGAGAGAGAGAGAGAGAGAGAGAGAGAGAGAGAGAGAGAGAGACCATGAGCCAGCAGCAGGCAGCCATCGGCCTCAACTCACGCATCGACGCTGAGGATGAGGTCCGGGTAGCACACGTTGTCGCGGCCGCAGTTCTTCTGGATGGTGAGCGAGTCGGAGAGCGTGAGCTTCTGGCGCTGGTTCAGGATGGGCGCGAGGGAGCGGCGATATCGTCTCCGTCGGCTCGCCTCCTCCACGAGGGTGAAGCTGACCTCGGCTGACATCGGGGTCAGCTTGTCCGTCAGAGAGGACTGCGGGAACGAGAGCAGGGAGTGAGAGAGGACAAGAGGTTAGAAATCCGGACCTGAAAAACCGATTCATCTTGCAAATGAGTTTCCTTTCGAATCTCCCTTGACCTCTGACCTCCCTCCGCGTCCGGCCAGGTCACCGCGTCTTTGGCGAGGTTCAGCGACGCTCTGAGAATCCGGGACCAATTATCTCCGAGACATCCGCCGTCGCCAAAGTCCAGATTAGCAGACCAATTGTGTCCCGAGGTTTCTTGCCCCTGCCTGGAAATAGCCTTTTCTCTTTCTCAAGGTATCATTAGAGATAATCCCCTTTTAATTACACTGCTCCGAGCATCGCGACTTCGGAGAAACTTCTAATCACAACAACTTCCGAAGTTTCCCAACGCTTCACCCCTTCCCACGCGGGTCAAAAATGGAGTCTGTCCAAGTGGCACTCTTGCTGGGTGCCGGTTGGTAGCCGAGTAGCGCCAAGTGGATGACAACCTCTTTTTCACATAGACACGTGTGTGTGTGTGTGTGTGTGTGTGTAGGTTGGTGGGTGGATGTTTATATATATATATATATATATATATATATATATATATATATATATATATATATGTATGTATGTATGTATGTATGTATGTATGTATGTATGTATGTATGTATGTATGTATGTATGTATGTATGTATGTATGTATGTATGTATGTATGTATGTATGTATGTATGTATGTATGTATGTATGTATGTATGTATGTATGTATGTATGTATGTATGTATGTATGTATATATATATATATATATATATATATATATATATATATATATATATATATATATATATATATATACATATGTAGAAAGGTATGAATGAGAACGAATATCTTCACAATACAAGACATGTATTTGACCGGTTTCGAATCTCTTGTATTGTGAAGATATTCTCATTCATACCTTTCTATATTTGTCAACATGAATACGGTTCACACACACACACACACACACACACACACACACACACACACACACACACACACACACACACACACACACACACACACACACACACACACACACACACACACTGTATATAATAATTTGACATTACTTGTTGTGGTGATCAGAGTTGCTTTTACCTAATTTTGATAAACCCTTGTTGCTACGTTGGAATACTCTGCCTCGAGCCCAAGGTTTGGAGTCTAGGCTGGTTTTAAAGCTGGTCGTTTTACAAAGTATGAATGTTGTCATGAATACATAGTTGTGAGAGTGGGTTGTTGTTTTAATAATATATAAATTTTTAGTCTTTATAGAAGTCCCAACTCCGATGACAGTATTTGTACTTGTTTGCTGACTTCGTACATTTCTATTCAAGAGAATGATATTAAATCATGCTTTATATTCATAAGTGATTTTAATGCTCACCACCGAGACTGGCCGAATTCTGTGTCCCCAATTGACCGACATGGCATTTCTGCCTTAGATTTCGCAGATGTAGTTGGGTGTGAGCAGTTAGTCCGTGATGCAACTCACTGGAATGGTAGTCTTTTGGATCTTGTATTAACTGATGTGAGAGGGCTAATTGATGTAGACTCCATAGCGCCAATTGGTTCTTCCAACCACTGTAGTCTAGCATGTAAGATTCAGCTGGACTTTCCTATACTTTCCTTTACTCTAGATACACAAGTCTTCTTAAAGTCTAGAATTAATTGGAATGGTGTGTGCCATGCTTATGTTTATATGGAGACTAAGTATGAATATAAAGCCCATTTGAAAGTTCTCTCAGAAGCCTCACAGCCTCATAAATGACGGTCAACACATAAAGCATCTCTGTTTGGTGTTGAGTTCTCCATTCCTCCTTTAATGAAACCTGATGGTTTACATATAGTCCGATCGAGAAAGCTACCTTGTTAGCAGATTGTTTTAATTCAAAACATAGTTTAGAAGACATTTAACTTCCTCTTTCATGTCACCCATGACCATGCTTTAATTCATATGCTTCCAGGTCCTCTGAAATCAGGTCTGTTATCAGAATTAGTTGAATATGATGGAGTAAAACCTAATGGCTTGTTTCCTTTGATTTTAAAAATACTAAATGGTCAATTACTCCCTATATTAGAAGTAATCCTACGCTTTTCAGTTCGTAAAGGGTCACTTTCAGAGTATTGGTGTTTTGGTAATGTTACTCCTATTCCCAAGGGCCCACTAGTCTTGACCTACTGAATATCGGCCCATTTCAATTACACTAATTTTATCTAAAAAAAATTAATGTTTGCTGGTTAAAAGCCTTTCTGTACATTTGAGATCGTTTCTTCTGGAGACTCCGTTTGGTTTTAGAAAGGGACTCGTTTGCAATGATGCACTGCTTATGGTGGTGCACGAAATGCAGTCTGCTTTAGATAAGGGTCAGGAGTCAGGGCTTGTCTCTCGATTTTAGTGCAGCTTTTGACACTGTTAATCACTACTATATATATATATATATATATATATATATATATATATATATATATATATATATATATATATATATATATATATAATATATATATAATATATATATATATATATATATAATATATACATAATATATATACATATATATATATATATTATATATATATATATATATATATATATATATATGAATGTATGTTTGTATATGTACATGTATATATATATATATATATATATATATATTATATATATCATATCATACACATATATATACGTATTGCATATATAAACACAGCCAACTCGGCTGCCTCCCCCGGGGCCTCACCGTGACGTAGACGCGGTGAGTCCTGCAGTCGTCGATCTCCTTCTCGAGGCGGACGCGCTCCTTGAGGCTGCGCCGACTGGAGTCCAGGAAGAACAGTCGCGGCTCGCTCACCTTGTTGTCCAGCAGGTACTCCACGTCCATCTCTGGCACAGGAAAAAGGAGAGCGATTGGGGGCGTCGCTCGGGGCGGTCGCGGCCACCGTGTCGGCGGGCGCGTTAGCGAGAGGAAAGGCGCTCCTGCTCGGCGAGGCAGAGTGCTCGCAGCAGGGCATGATAAGCCTAAGTGCTATCCCGTTTGTTAGGAAAAGAGGAGCCGTTCGCAATGTGTCCATAAATAAAGTACATTGGCATGTAGTCATAACAGTTTTATCTTAGGCAAAGGGTATCTTCTTTCGACTAACTGCGAATAAAAGTTGTTTAAGGCATATAAGCCATAGTGTTATGCTACGTAAAATTCTATTAGGAAATACGTCGATATATAGACAGACAGATCGGTTGATAGAAGTACAGAGATAGATACCAAAGACACATTTGTAATCTCCTCATCCGGATTTACGTGTGATGCAATTACCAGTCTACTTTCCGTATAATTGCCGTTAAGAAGAGAGCGGATAAAAGGGAATCAATCACGATAATGCTCTCGCGCCCCTTCCTTCCCCCGGCTCCCGCGGCCAACTCACCCAGGTCGGTGGGCACCCCAACGCCGGCGTATCCCAGACAGAACTGCAGCGTCACGCACGGGACGATCTGGCTCGACACGCGGCACCCGCCTGTCTCCAGGCTCGCCGAGTCGATGTCGATGGTCTTGCCCTCCGACAGGAAGCTGAGGCTGTGGTTGAACAGGGACACGATGGGGCGGGTCCTGAGGGAGAGGGGGGGTTAGTGGCTGAGCGCAGAAGGCAGTGATCTTGCGGGAAGCGGCTCAGGATTAGGCAGATGGCGCCCGTTTCGCCGGCGACTGTGATTGGTTACACAGTATCTGAAGAATGAGTGTGTTTGATGTTGTATACAAAGGCGTTGCATAGGAACATATCTACATGAGATGGAGAAGGCGAGCGAAGGAGAGAGAGAGAGAGAGAGAGAGAGAGAGAGAGAGAGAGAGAGAGAGAGAGAGAGAGAGAGAGAGAGAGAGAGAGAGAGAGAGAGAGAGGAGAGAGAGAGAGAGAGAGAGAGAGAGAGAGAGAGAGAGAGAGAGAGAGAGAGAGAGAGAGAGAGAGAGAGAGAGAGAGAAGATAGAGAGAAGAGAGAGAGAGCAGAGAGAGAGAGAGAGAGAGAGAGAGAGAGAGAGAGAGAGAGAGAGAGAGAGAGAGAGAGAGAGAGAGAGAGAGAGAGAGAGAGAGAGAGAGAGAGAGAGAGAGAGAGAGAGAGAGAGAGAGAGAGAGAGAGAGAGAGAGAGAGAGAGAGAGAGAGAGAGAGAGAGAGAGAGAGAGAGACAGAGAGAGAGAGAGAGAGAGAGAGAGGGAGAGAGAGGAGAGAGAGAGAAGAGAGAGAGAGAGAGAGAGAGAGAGAGAGAGAGAGAGAGAGAGAGAGAGAGAGAGAGAGAGAGAGAGAGAGAGAGAGAGCGAAAGAGAAAGAGAGAAGAGAGAGAGAGAGAGAGAGAGGAGAGAGAGAGAGAGAGAGAGAGAGAGAGAGAGAGAGAGAGAGAGAGAGAGAGAGAGAGAGAGAGAGAGAGAGAGAGACAGAGAGAGAGAGCGTTCGGCCTGCCTCACCTGAGCAGGACGGCGGAACTGGACAGGTACGCCCCCACCAGTAGGTCCGGGTACAGGTTGTTGTCCATGTCCTGGCCACCGGAGAGCGACCAGCCAAAGGTGGCGATGGGGGGACCTGGCCCTGGGGTCACGTCACGAGCGTAGATGACCTGTGAATCGGGTCGTTATCATAAGTCTATTTAAGAATTTCGTGCGTCGGTCTTTGTACTGTTTCCTCATGATGAACTTTGTGAATGAATAAAATAAATACAAATCTAATAAGAAGAATATCTTACCTGTGATGGTTCATAGCTCTGAGTTCGCCGCTTCTGATCTTAAATCCATGGTATATAAACACAGCTCCGTTTCCATCGCTGCCGCCATAAGGAGCTCCCACGGCGACGTCTGTCATAGAAAACGAAAATGGTTTAAGATTCACAGAAAATGGCATATCTTTGTCAGCAGTAACTATGGTATTTATTTCTAACTCGAGATAACAGAAATGGAGAGGAAAATAAGGTCAGTAAGCGAATATGATAATTACCTCGACAGTCATAAACACTTGAATATAGAGTTACAAACTTACTAAAAAAAACTTTAGATTGCTTTCCAGTACCAGAATCACGATGTCTGGATGACAAACCAAACACTGCTTCTACATCGATGTTTAATCATTCCTTTTGGCAATAATTGCTTCAAAGCATAATAGCGTCTCTTTCTGACAAAAGCCATGTTGCATAAAATGTCTGGTTTTATCTTCAGAAACTGTAATTGCAATAATCCTGGAAACTTCAAGCCAAATGACTGGGATGATTGTACTGGGTAAGTCACAAAGATTAAAAATACAAGACAGAAAACATTTCTTTAAAATCAAGCATATCACTGTCGCATGTTATAGGAATCATTTAAACAACTTGTTCATTTGTTCATATACATGTGGATACATTGTATTTTTGTATATGTGACGGTTTCTGATTGCTATTCATTTTTTCCAGTTTACAATAAATCAAATTTATGACAGTATAAACAACGATATAACCGTGAATCTCCCTTTTCATCAAATTCAATTAATTTCATCACAAACAAAGTGTACATGAAATTCAATACATAATTTAAAATGCGTCGCATTGAATGCATTCTGAAGAAAAGAGAGTATATAATTTTAATTGAAAATATGTTAATCTAGGATTTCAGTTACATTTCAAACAAAAACATGGCTATTTTTAAAATTATATTTGATATTTACTATTTTCTTCTCTATCTATATTTATCTACCTATTTTTTAAATACGTATCTATATCCTTTATATCTACCCATCTATAGGTCTTTTTCCGGTGCCAAGAAACTGTCCAACTACACTAGAAAGTCGTTTTTTTTTCATTTGCGACATTCTCCCGGCCGATCGCGACAGCAACGTTGCCGATGCTTCTACGCTGTTGCCACAGGTGCGGCTCCACCCCCATTCCTAGGAATTGTACTCGAGTTGACGAAGCTGATTTTGTTTTTGAATTGTATCAATTGACAAATCACTGGTTTACTGATGTAACATTAGGAAATAACAATAAATACAAGTTGTTAGTTATCATCATCTTCAAATTACAAATCAAACGACGGAAACTATCGAAATCAGTTGAAAATGCGCGGGCTAAGCCCATCATACTTATTCATTCGTCCATCGACAATGGTTTCGAAGGTCACACTTCTTTAAAGATTTTGAAAATGACACTATTTATTGATTAATATCAACTACAATCAAACGGATATATAAGTTTACGTCTGCATATTCAATTATACATACATAATAAGTAAAATGATTATGTAAAACCTAATATAAATTTTCATAATATTCTTTTAAGCATTCGAACACATTCTGTAAATATAACATGAGATACTTCCCCGTATATTATTCGTCATGGAAACACTTTTAGAGGCCTGAATATTACCCAAGATTAAAGCATAAATGGTATAAGAAAAACAGTAACTAGCCTTACATGACATATAGCATAAAAATGTACACATACGAAAGATAAACCTGAACCTCGCTCTTCTTAGCCGTGACCCTATTAATACGAAAGCATATAAAGCTTAAACACTATATTGTTATATATGGTAGTAGTGTATATTTTTAATATTATAGTTCTGCATATATATGTATACAATACATATTAACATACATACTCATATATATATATACATAAAATGTATATAGA